ACCATCCCGGGCCTTCACTCACCATCGGCACGGCAAACCCAAGTGGAGTCATCGGGAAAGCTGACTACCTCATGGACCTGCCCTATGGCATCTGGAACATCGCTGAGACACATCTAGCGGCCCCCTCGATGCGCTTCCAAGCCCGGGCACGTGACCAACAACGGCATCTCCGCCTACTCTTTGGAGCTCCAGCACAGCAGGAGTTTGGCTGGAGTCATGCAGTTCTCCGACATGCCAGCAGCCCCTTACAAGCTGTGCTGGCCGGACTCCCAGTACTCACTGGGCCGAGTCCAAGTCTCCCAATTCAGATGCGGCAAGCACACCATCACCGGAGCCAACCTATATGGTTGGCCATCCTCGCCATCCTGGCCATTGGCGTGCGCCCACACCAACACACTCATCGATCACTTGACCCATGAACTCATCCTAGGCCGTCAAGGCCTGAGGTTCGTGGCCGGCGACTTCAATGCCAGCGAGGATAAGCTAGCGGCCATCCACATCTGGAAGCAGTGTGGTTGGGTTGAAGCCCAGGAACTACACCACCAGCTCACCGGGCAACCACCATCCCCCACTTACCGAGGACAAACTCGACCCGATCGGCTCTACCTCTCCCCGGAACTTGCGGGCTACTTCCGGGCCTGCCAAGTCAAACAGGACTTCGCGGACCATGCCACGATCAGGGCCGATTTCATCCTGCCCGACTCTCTTTCGGCCACTTTCACTTGGCCTATGCCAGCCCCAATTCCATGGGGCCAGCTTGCTCCAGACACTTGGAAAACCACAGCTACGAGCTACCAACTTCCTGCTATGCCCAACGGCTCCACTACCGACACCTTCAAATACCTCGGGAGCCAAATCGAGAACTATGCCAGCTCCACCTTCCATGCACACGGACTACCTCCACTCCCTCCTACCAGCAACGGGCGTGGACAACGGCTCAAACCCATCAAGCGCCTCACTCAGCAACTCTCGGTCCGCCCTAGCAGACCTGGAGAGATACAACTCAGCTCGGACACCATCAACCACTCCATCCTCAAATGGTTCAAACAACTACGCAGACTTCAGAGTCTTCTGCACTCCCTGAGATCCGGGGGTACTTCCCCCACACACCTTGGACACCAACTCGAGCTTTGGCGTGCCATCAAGCAAGCAGCGGGCTTCCAATCCGGATTCGCCACCTGGTGGCTCACCCGTCCACATCGCAGTCAGGGTGCACCCGCTGAGCTCCCCCAGACAGTCCCATCTCGGGCGACTATCGAAATCCTCTTCCAGGATTTCCAACACAACTTCAGGGCCCTTGAAAGCTGGCACCACCGTCAGCGCGGCAAACTCCACTGCCACCTTGCCTTCAAATCGGTCAAAGGAGACTCCTATGCAGCACTGGACTACCTTGTCAAGACAGAGACTGCCACCATCATTGGGGTCTCAGATACTGGAGACCACATTCAGACGGACGCTCCAATCGCTCCGCACACTCGTCCATCAACGGCCTTCCGGTCACCATCGACAACCAAGAACGGGACACCATGCAGGTCCACTCCGACCACCTCATAGCTCACCCAGAAAATCACCCACTTTGACCCTGACATCATCCACGACGAGCTCTCCACCTTCTGGAGCGACAGGTGGAAGCAACAAACCGAGACCCCTCCCGAGGTCTGGGAGCGGGTTGTCGCTTTTACCAGAGCATACATCCCACAGGGCATTCTTGAACTCCCTCCCCTGACTGAGTCCAGCTGGAGAGCCTCATGCAGACGCTTCAAGAAACACTCCGCACGCGGTCCGGATGGCATTTCAGGTGAGGATCTGCGGCACCTTCCGGACGCACTACAGACCCAATTCTTCCAGCTGCTGATGGACATTGAAGCTGGAGCGGACTGGCCTGAGCAGCTCCTACAAGGCTTTGCACATCCTGTCGCCAAAGTCTCCAATGCTGAAACAGTAGCACAATATAGACCCATTATTGTGCTCGCGACAACCTACCGCTCCTGGTCGAGCACAAGGGCAAGAGCAATCCTACGCTCCATTGGCCGTCAAATTGATGGACGCACATTTGGCTTCCTTCCTGGCCGTGAAGCACAAGAAATCTGGGTGCTGTTGCAGGCACTCATCGAGGTCCAGGCCACAGTGCCTACACCCCTGGTCGGCCATGTGGCAGACATTCAAGGAGCCTTCAACAACCTGCCAAGACGCCACATCCACCACCTCCTCCTGCACTTGGGCCTTCCGCGACCATTCCTCTCGGCCTGGCATCGCTTCCTGGACAACTTTGCCCGAAGGTTCAAACTTCGCCACTCCATCGGGGAGCCACTTCATTCGACGAGAGGCTACCCGGAAGGATGCTCACTCAGCTGTGTCGCCATGGCAGCCACATGCTGGGCATTGGATGTCTACCAACGACAATATGCTCCCCAAATTTGCCACCTCTCCTACGTCGACAACCTGGAGCAGCTCTCCTATGACGTCTGGCCATTACTCCAGGGGAATCGCAACCCAGCAATGCTTCCTGGAACTCTTCCAGCTCACTACGGATGACACAAAGTCATACACCTGGGCTGTACACAACCAACACCGGCAGCAACTCCACGCCCTGGGACACCACACCCAGCTCTACCACAAAGACCTTGGAGGTCTTATGCACTACGATGCAAAGCGACGCACACAACACCTCCACCACCAGATTCAGCTTCTCCAACCCCAATGGGACCTGCTTCGACGTCTCTCTTGTCCAGCTGAGCTCAAACAACGGATCATCGTCCAGGCCTTCTAGCCAAAGCTTTTCCACTCAGCCGTTATCTGCGACTTTCCTCCGCAGCTCATTCACCAGCTGCGAACCACAGTTGGGCTGGCAACAAGCTGGGGCGAATTCCCTGCTCAGTCTTGGGGTTCTTGTCCGAAACCCCCTTCTCGACCCTGGCCTCTACCAACTTTGGACCTCCATCCGGAACTTCAAGCGCATACTACGCAAACAGCCTGGACTCCTTGACCTTTGGCACCTTCACATGCAGAACTTCCAGGGCAAACTCCGTGCCGGACCCTTCTCCACCCTGGTGAGGCTCCTCAACCAGATTGGATGGCGGGTAGAGCAGGTCCCCATGCTTCAAGATCATGAAGGCCTCCTACACGATCTCTGCACTACGCCAGAAGCACTCCTCTTCAGGCGCCTCACTGCTGGTTGGAGACATTGGGTTTCTCTCCAGCTTGCACACCGGCAAGATTATGCAGGCCTCCACGGCATCAACTGGCAGATCATAAGGCGAAAACCGGTCACCTTTCGGCACTCGAGTTAGCCCGGGCTCACTCACAACAACGAGGTGCCTTCTTCACTGGAGAGTACAAGAGGAAATTTGACAATTTCCATGATGGAACCTGCCCGGCATGTTCTGCCCCGGACTCCATCTTGCACCGAAGCCTGCACTGTCCCCAGGCAGAGACAATCCGACACCAACACCCAGCTGCTGTTGCCCTATGGGATCATGCTCCAGTATGCCTCCGGGAACGACTACTTGTACCCTGCAACCCACACGCTGCACTTTTTCACTGACTCGGACCAGACCATCCACTTGTTTACGGACGGCTCCTGTGCTACGCCAAAGAATCCGTCAACAGCCCTCTCCAGCTGGGCAGTGGTCTCAGCTACCCATGGCCAAGTTCTTGCGCAAGGACTACTGCCAGGCATTCGTCAAGGCAGCGCCCGGGCGGAGCTGTACGCCATCCTGCAGGGTATCAAATGGCTCCAGGCCGGCCAACACCGTGGACATATATGGTCTGACTCGGCGACCTCGGTTCAGGGAATCTGGCGGATCCAGCAATCCCTCCACCTCGCGATCCCACACTCGGACTATACCTCTGGCACCAACATCGACCTCTGGAGTCAGATTGCGGACACACTTCAACTTGCCACCAATGCCTCCATCCAGATCCACCACATTCCAGGACACACCGACCCCACCAGCTGCGACAACCCGGTTGATGAGTGGCTCGCGCTTTGGAACGGACAAGCCGACTATGCCGCAAGCCTTGCTCGAACCCAACTTCCACCTGGGTTTGAGAGAAGCTGGACAAACTTCATTAGGGAAGAAAAGAGGTCGGCTGACCAATTTGGCACCATGCTTCGGTTCCAACTTGACCTTGCGGAAGGCTTTTCGCACTTCCACAAGCATGCCCGCAACACTCACCGTGCAGATGATGGTGACCTGGAAGAGCCCCTCGAGATCCCCAGGTTGCCCTCGCCCCTCTGCTGGACCTCTCGGCTACCTTCTGAGTGGCGCGAAATAGTTAGGAGCTCATCCCAATTCGTTTTGGAACAAATTTTGTTTGCGGCCTTCTCGAGTTTTTCCTGAGAGACCAACAAGATGCTGACACTAGCCACTGCGTCTCCTGGCTTGAGATTGCCGTTTTTGCACGCAATTGCGACTGCCTCCGGCACCGGAGAAAGCTGGAGAGACCTTTGTGATGTTCCACCGGGTGCTGATGTCCACGCCTCTTTGGCTAGTGACATCCGCCTTGTTCGTGCTGTTCTTCGTGGTGTTTCCGGTCTTTTTGATTTGGACATCGGTGAAACCCGGGGACTCAACCTCTCGGCACTTAGGGTAGGACCACCCCAGGCCGGTTGCTGCATGCCTTTTTCCCAGGACTCCTTTGGGGCAATCAACGCCAGGATCCTGGACTTTACTTCGCCTTGGCCGATTAGGTCTTCGAATGACCTCTCTCGGCCACTGCGCTGAGCTGACCGGACTCGCGCACCGCTCTGCTGCCGCCGAGCGTGCGCCGCAATGAAGGGTGAATGAATGTATGAAGGCGTTGGTTTTGTTTTCAATGATGGGTGGGCGCTTCCCAAGTTGCATGGTCACAGCTGCAGACATTCACATCGGCAATGACGGAATTGAATATGTTTGAGGCTGCATTCAAAACACGCTGTCCGGGTCAGTTTTGGTGACTAATTGTGTGGTTCATTTGTCGCCTCAGCGGCAGAAAGACATCACAAAGATACTAGACCAGGATTAGACAGGTGGCCGTGCACGAGCCATGACCATCCTGAGCAGCGTGTGAGGATGTGGCAGCCTCATTCGGGTCCCCTGACTGGCATGGGGATTTCTGGCACCGAACATTGCCAGGAGTCTGGAGACAGATCCCGATGGCCGAATTGTGACTTCGTCATTTCTTCAGGCAGGGAGCAACTATCGGTTTAGTCATGCAGTGTACGTTGCTTGAATGAGATGGGTAAGAGTGAGCGCAATGCCTTTCACCGTGGGGGGATGCCCGCCCGCATGTCAGGCTGCTGCCAATGGCTTCGTCGACGCTCTCCGCAAAGGGCCGGTATGGTAGACTTTTGCTTGAACTCGATGTTTCTGAGCAGTGAGCAGAGGTTGGAAAGCCGTGATCGGAGGAGGCTCATGGTGGCCAGTGACCAGCAGCAGCCACTTGTCATGGACGCTGGGTGCATTTGGATTGATGCGGGGCGAGCAGCGTACCGGAATTCAGCCCAGGAGAAGCGCAGCTCACTTGGCCGCGCTGCAGCCCTAGACGCGCCCCATTCGAGCCTTCGAAGCCAGTGCTGGAAAGGCGAAGCGGGCATGCAGAGGCGCTGGCTAGCTTTGGCGTGGCAGGTCAAAGAGCAGCCGCAAACAACCCACCAGGGCGCATGTGATAGCAGTTTCAGCTGATGTTTGTTTTTTTTGGCGGTACGTGTTTGTTTCTTTCTTTGATTTGTTTGTTTGCTTGATTTAATCTGTTTTGTTTGGTTGCGTTGATTTGCTTGGTTTTGTTTTGTTCTGTTTCATCTGTTTGTTTGTCTGTCTGCCTGCTTGTCTGCCAGCCTGGCTGGCTGGCTGGCTGTCTCTGTCTTTGTCTTTGTCTCTGTCTCTGTCTCTGTCTCTGTCTGTGTCTCTTTCTCTGGCCCAGTCTGTGTCTGTGTGTGCGCATGTTGCTTTGTTTGGAGCACCTGGGTTGCACCTGGCACTGGGATGTTTCGATGCGACCAATTGTAGCCATAAGCCCGGAGGCGTTGCGGTTACTGCACAACCACGGCTGTGAGATGGAGGCTGGACTGGTTGACACAGGAATTTTTGGAGACCCAGACTTGTTCTACACGCTGTCTTCGCAAGTAATTGTCAGCAGAAAGCGCAGGCGATGGATCGCTTTGGCCGAACAGCATTGCATTTGGCTTGTGAGCATGGGAAGGCGGTGGAGTTGTTGCAAAGCACGTGCTATTTTTTAGGTATTCAGCGTATGCACGTGAAACATTCTGAAGCTTGCGCAGGCAGATGTGGTCAAAGTCTTGTTGGATTGTGGGGCACGGCCTGGCCTCGAGGCTGTCATGTTCAATGGTATTCATGTGCTCGACTGCCCTTTGCACGTGACTTGAGCAAAGGACAAGACGGGGCGCAATGCCTTGCATTTGGCTGCATGCTGCGAGGCCCCTGAGTTATTCTTTGCAATATGAGCTGCCTGCTGCATGCTCGCCACGCTGAATTCCATCATGTGCCCTTGCTTCACAGAGGACCCGTCATTGTGCGAAACGCTTGCCAGTCCGGAGCTTAGCCAGACGGGTTGCTGGACAATGAATACTGCACCAGGTCAGTTCCCTCAGCTGGTTTTCTGCGCAGATTCCAATGGAAGGCCACTCACTGGAAGTTTGCTGGCGCGGCAAGTGCTTCCCGAGTCCAGGACGCCGCTATTTTATGCGGCATTGAATGCGCATCCTCAAGCGCAGGCCGAGGTGCCGTCCGAGCTGACAACTCGTAAGATGTATTGCAATTGAAGCCGATTGAAGCTGCGTGGCACATGCAGGTGACCAAGATGTGCCGACCTTTGTGCCGCATGCGTTGGCACAGCTATTTCTCTTGGCGCATGACATCACACTGTGCCGCGGGGAGCGTCAGCGACAAAAGCAGAGAGAAGTGAGGCCCAGAGACACATACGCACACTGTGCACACATCGAATGTAGCTGAGCGAAGCGTGGAACAAAAGCCACTCGCCCGTTATGGATGGCCACTTCCCTTCGGCGCCACGAGTGAAGCGGCCTCACCTCCTGGCAGCAGGGGTTGGAGCTGTGATCTGCGGCGACTTCGTGGCATGGCAGCCGGCCAACGGGCAAGGCTCGAGCGCCATCGAATCGCTGAACCGACGGGGTCTGACAAGAGCGTTCTAGTGCCTGGCACCTGGCAGGTTTTGGCTGTGCCCTCGTGTCGTTCTTCGTGGCGGCAATGTTTTACTTGGTCTTGCTGTGCACCCTTGCTGAGGCTGGCTGGGTATCAGCTTCTAAAAGTGAATGGCAGAAAGATCTGACCTGGCAGAAAAACATGTGCTTGTAGCTGCAAGTGAAGCTTGAGGAGCGTCTTTGGCAGGACTCAATCAGTGTGACGTCATGATATTCGGATGCTGTTGCCCCAACTGCAGGTGGTGAGTCGCATGGGGTATGCTGAAGGTCCTAGCCAAGTTGCTGCCTGCATCGGTCCGAGGACAAGGGCTAGGGTACGAAGGCAAACATCATGACCATGTGAGTCTGCGCAAAGTTTTCACCAAGACTTGGAGACTCACACATTTGTGCATGTCCTTTACGGTAACCGCACAGTTTGACACCAGCTCTTGTCTCAGAAAAAGAAAGCATTTGCCCTGCGAGGACATCATTCATAGCTGGCTTTGCAGAGGTGTTGAAATGCGTCTTTGTGATGGCAGATGTTGCCACAGCCATAGGTGCGTTTATGCAGGACTCCCGCATGTCTTACTCAAATTGATATAGCTGCACTCAATTGATATACTTCATGCAGTGGCACTCCTTGTGGCAGGAAATCTTTCTGACCCCGTCACAGTTACAGCCAATATGGTGGGTCGCGTTCTCGGTAGTCACATTGCTACTCAATACCATGTTCTTCGACGTGTCAATGAAAGCTCTTGTGGTTTTGACCGGCGCTGCTTGCTCCATACTTCTGGCTTTGTTTTTCCTATCGAAGCTAAGCTGCAAACAGCGCTGCTTTAATGCCATCAGGTCTTGCAAGTGTTGCTTTCTTTTTTTGCGGGAATATTTTCTCAGAGGAGGAGACTGGTGGCAAGTGCGCTGTGGAAACTGAGGCTCTCCACTACTTTCGACTTTGCACATGATGTTGTTGCGGGAGCCCCCTCGCTGCTTCACTTGTGTAGGATGCCTGTGCATATGGCATGCCAGATATGCACCAGTTGCCAACATCCTTCGAAGGAGTTGATCCTTTTCGACGAGTGTCCCTTGCCCACATGGTCCAAGTTATGCCAGCCGGGCTTTGGTTCTTCCTCGGGGTAGAGGAGCTCTTTTGGTTCGGAAAGTTTGCGAAGGACATGCACCACAGCACTTAGCCTGCAGGGTGGGGCCTGTCCCGTAGCCCTCGTCTCTCATAGAACATTCGGCCATTCCTGAGTCACCGAGGCATGCCGCGGGCGATGACGTGGTCCTATGTCATGTTGTTTGTCCTTTCCTGTTTAGCACTGCTCGTGGGCGCCACAAGCTCTCAAGGCGGGCAAAGGAGCGGACAAGAACGCATTTTTGTCGAACCTTGTGGAGCTTGCAAGTTGCCTGGCTTTCTTGTGTGGGTGCAAAGGCTCGCACAGCATGATGGAGCACAAGTTTCCGCTGCTGGACGCGTATGTGACAGCACTTGGTGAGAGCGATGCGGTCCGCTACCTTTGCGTTTGTCTGGTACTTGGTTTTGTGGAGTCTTGCCTGCAGCGTGATTTAGAGGGGCCGAGAACGTGCTGAGCCGAGTTCAGTTTTGTTTGCGCAGGCCTCCCTACATACTTTCACCTTCGTTGCGGGACAGCTCATGACGCAAATGGCAGAAGACAACCAGCTCCCTGCTTGCCTGGCATACCGCAGCAAGGTGACAGGCCAGCATGATGGGGTGCAGACATGGAAAGCCTAGACAGACTGCCTGCGGAGTTGCGGACAGGTGCCCCTACAATTTCCGCGCTGATTGCAACGCTTCTGGCGCTGGTACTGGCGGAGGTGATCTTCCAAGCAGAGGAGTACAACTACGAGCCTGGCTGCAAGTTAGTGTTTCTGGCGTTGCAAAAAGGCTTAGGCCAGAAAGGCCAGAAAGGCCAGAAAGGCCAGACAGCCCAGGAAGCACTCCGTGGGACCTTCATTTCGGCCGCAACTTTGTGTGCGGTCTTTGTCTACATCATTGAGCTGGTCTGCTTTTTCTTGCTTCGCCGTGGCAGCACCGGCAACGAGGCCAGTGCCAGGGGGCGTTTTTTTCCTCTGGTTTTGCCAGCATTTCGCCAATGCTTTCCCAGGAGAAGGTGTTTACCTCACCATTCGGAGTGCCTGGCGCAGTGATCGCCCTTGGCCTTTCCTTGGTCTTCTTCACCTGTACTGTGGTGTCGCCGTTCGTTTTCTCTATGAGGGTCAGCCCCGCGGCAGAAATATGGATGGGTGAGATTTGGGCGATTTGGGCATGGAAAAGCAGGCCTTGCAGAGAATTGAGGCGGAATGCTGATCTCTCTTTCCGGGCTTCTCTTGGCCGGGCTATTTGATGCCGTCACGCGGTGCCGCAAGAGGATCGTCCGCAGCCTGGCTGGTTTCCTCGATGTGTCTTGAGGCTGTGAGGCTTTGAGGCGAAAATACTTAGCGTTGCTTTCGAGGGCTGGCTGGCCTAGAGCCTTACCGGGCTTGTGTGTGCTCGCCACTACGGTCGGGTGAAAATCAGAAATTGGATTCCGATAAGAAGGGGTAACATTGCCTTGCGGCATGGGTTGAGGCGCCGCAGACGTAGCAGCGCCCAAGATGTCGCGACGGCCAGAAAGTTAGTTAGCTGACGAATGAATCGCATGCTCCAATTTTACAGCCGGAGCTCTCTTGAAAGATTTTGAGCAGAGCTGCCACAAGTGAGGCTGAATCTCAATTCGGGCTGCAATCGTTGCACATGTAAAGTCCTAGCCTGGACTTCAAAGCAGGCCACAGGAACAAAAAACAAAGACGTCATTGAGTTGATAGCAAGCCGTAAGCAGGAAACACGCGGAGTGGACCAGTCAAGATTCGCCGAGAAGCTCTGAATCCTCAGGTTGCTCCAGAATTCAGCAAACATAAACCATCGAGACTGCCATGGCAAGGCAGGGCAACTACGCACTTCCGAGCCGGAAGAGCGATGTTTGATGCCGGCTTGAGGTGGCCTTGCATCATGCTGCTGAGGAAGGCCCGTGTTGGCCCTTTTGCGATCAGGAGGCTCGTCATTTGAGAATGGCTGACTGAAAGACAGGTCAGCTCACTGCGGTCCGGCTCTTGCTGAAAAACAAGATCGATGCCAATGCCCAGGTGCATGGATCCATTTGCATGCTCAGATGTGCGTGATGGTTCGTGTCCCTGGCAGTGTTGCCTCAGATTTTGCACTCTTTGACAGATGGCAAGAGAAACGCATTGCTTGAATGCTGTGCAGGACAAGGAGAAGCAGACGGCCTTGCAGATGGCTTCCAGTGAGGCAGTCAGTGGCCCTGGTGCACCCTCGCAGACGTCATGTGTCTTGGGCTCTTGCCGGGCCATGCTCCCTTGCCGAGATCAAACTTGTTCGCTCACGCGCCACGGCTTTGTGCAGTTTTTGGGCTCCGGGCACAGGGCCTGCTAAGAGTGGAAGCCTGTGTCCGCAAGTGGATGTGAGATCTGACAGGCCTGGTCCAACTTTGCATGGAATGCACTGCAACAGCATGCAGTTGCTGCCTGTTTGTGATGAAGATGCCGTTCAACTTGTTGAGAGGCCTATCCTTTCAGAACAAACCCTTGAGCTTTGTTTTGCTTGTTGGGTTGCTTTGTCAGGAATTGAAACCAGACGAGTCACATGTTCAAAGAGGGCAAGATATGTCCCTGCCAGAGTGTGTGGCTCAGGGCGAGGTAGGGTGGGAGCGCCAGACGTTTTTGTTTTTCACTTTCCCATGGGCAGCAACAGTTGGTCCGTGCCCACGTCGCATTGAGCGCGGAGGTTTCGACATGATCCGCTTGTCGCCACCTTTGCTGGCCCACACTGGAATTTGACCATGTGCGATGGGGGTGATTATGCAGGCGCTTCAGGAGCCACGCTGTCACAGAGCAGGAACGTTATATCTGCGGTATCTCACGAGGCCTGTCGAGAGCTCTCGAAGCCTCCTGCAATGCCGTGGGACAGGAACGATGTCCTCAATCCGTCAAAGCGTTTGAAGTTGCAATTTTCCGTCACTGAGCTTGTCCAAAGTGGGGCTGAAAGAATTCTTGGCGGGGCCGTCTGGCACGAGTCCACCTGCGGCCCCGGACCAGGTGGCTTCCTTTCCAATGACCAGGATTCGTGCCAGAGTAATGGCCAGCATCGAGCATCAGGATGACCTGCGCTTCAATTTTCTCAGATGAGGCTCATGTTGGAGGTCGACATGGAAGCCACTGAGTTGGGCAAGCTTGTCCTATCTGAAGGCGCAAGTGAGAGACTGCAGGCTTTTGGCAAGACCATCAGAGACACCTTTGCGGCCAAAGCTACTGCCACCATTTACAAAAGAACCAGATGCTACTGGAGATTTTTCACTTGGTGCAGGGCAGTGCAAGCGGGCAATGGGCTGAGGCTTTCCGAGAAGGTCGTCTACAAGTACTTGTCGTACTTGCAGGAGGAGGGCGCAGGCGCCACGAGTGGCGATGCCTTTTTACAATCCTTCAGGTTTTTCCACGCCAGCTGGCAGTTCGTTGGGTTGAACCTGGATCAGGAACTGTCAGCAAGAGTGAAGGGAGTGGCACATGTGCTTTACTGCAAAAAGCCTTTGCTGAAACAGGCAAGGGCTCTCTCGGTTGCTGAACTTGCAGCGCTAGAGGATATTGTTCTGGGCGCAGAGGCCAGCCACGTTGGGGTTATTGCGGGATACCTCTTGTTTTGCGCCATGTCGTGTTGCCGTTTTTCTGACGCACTCTTCGCGATTGACTTCGTAGTGTCTTCGCACGGGAGCACAGTTCTTATCGAGGCCGGAACCAAGGTGCACAAAACTGCCTCCAGTAAGGAGAAGAAGACTGTCCTTCTCCCTCTTGTGGCTCTCGGGAAGGTGTTCCGCAGTGACTCCTGGGCCAAAAAATGGTTCAGCCTCAGACAAGCCTGCGTGCCTAAGAACATCCGCTTTGTCCTGCCGGCTTACTCTGAGCAGTCAGGGAGGTGGCTCAACAGGGCAATGACGACAGCTGAAGGCATTTTATGGATGCAGGACATCATGAGCTGGAAGTGCACCACCTTCCATGGACATGCAACAAAGGAGGATCTTGGGTCATCACGTGGACCCAGGAAGTTCTTCGCCGCTTACATATGGGCGGGACAATGTGGCTGCCATAAGGTGCAGGTAGCGGCCATGCTTCAACGCATCAAAGCCGGCAGATTTGACCCGGATGAAGCTCGAGTGGCCTTTGTGGATAGACAGATAGCATCCTTCTGCGCAGAAATCGACAAATCCGACGAGCATCTGCACTACGGTGATTTGGATGCAGTCGATGCCTCGGACGTGGAAGATGCAGACGAAGCTGAGGCTGAAGCTCATGAATCTAAGGCAGCGCTGAGAATTTTCTTGCCAGAGGCCACTTCCGATAGCCGCATCATGCAGCACTTGGTGTCCGGCACTTTGCGTGTGATAGGCTTAGAAGACCGTCATGTGTGGCAAATTCATTTCCGTGGGCTACCAGTTCCCGCCAGGCGATCTTGTCAGGGAGTGGCCCTTGTGCCAGCAGTGCAGAAATGCACAGGGAGGCCGCAAATGGTGTGCGCTAATTCCGCCTGGCGCTGAAGACGAATTACGGCGCCACATTGCAGGCGCTGACGCCGCATTGCGGCGCCACATTGTCTGGCGCTGAATTGGGGCCTGGCGCTGACCTAGCGCTTGACGCCGCATTGTGGCGCCGCATTGTCTGGCGCTGAATTGGGGCCTGGCGCTGCATTAGCGCTTGACGCCGCATTGTGGCGCCACATTGTCTGGCGCTGAATTGGGGCCTGGCGCTGAATTAGCCTCTGACGCCGCATTGTGGCGCCACATTGTCTGGCGCTGAGTTGGGGCCTGGCGCTGAATAGCCTTTGACGCCGCATTGTGGCGCCACATTGGCGCTGGTCGATATGCAAACATTACGGACTTTTGCGAATTCAAATGTGCGCACGCGTCGCCCAATGCGGGGATCGGCGTGGACGAGGTGCGCAAACTGGTGACCTTGTTTGCGACTGTTGATTTGCGCGCGTCACCCTCTGCGGGAATCGGCGTGGTAGATGCGCCAAAAAAAAACTGAAGCTTTTTGCGGTTTCTGCGTTTCCCGCGCGACCGTATGCGGGAACCGGCGTGGTCAGGATGCAAACACCGAGGCCTTTCTGCGATTCTGTGGCGCGCGAATGAACCCTCTGCGAATATCGGCATGGGCCATGTGCAAAAACGGAAAGCGTTCTGCGACTTCGATATTCCCGGACCATTCCTCTGCCGGGATCGGCGTGGTCGATGTGCAAAAATAAAGAACTTAGCCTTTGGAAGTTGTGCTTTCTCGGTCGACGGGGTGCAGGCTCGATTCCTGCTTTGTCCGCGGGCTTATGGTGGTTGCGTGGGTAGAGGTTTTCCCGTGCAGCACGCCAAAGAGGTCCACCAACGCCAGCACACGCGCACACGCAATTGTGAGATAAATGAAACTGGCAACGCAGGTACACTGGGCTGATCAGACCCAGCATCCTGAGGACACCATAGAAAGCTTCATTGGGCAGAGCTCTATGGGCTTCCTGTGCCTGCCTGCCGTGCCAAAATTGCATTTTATGGAGCATGCCCTTTGCAATTGGAGTGGCTAAACACACATTCTCCACACTGAGCGAGCCAAATCAAACTCGTGAGCAAGGGCGCTGGCAACATCCCCAGCTAATCGTTCCACATCTTATACACTTGTTACATAAGACTCCGATAAATTCGGCGTACTCATGTCTGTGGCATCAGATAGTACAAGGATGGTCTGCGGCGGCCGCGGGGGCAGCCCTCACCTCTCATGCGCTGCCCCCCGCCCCCTCTCAGTCAGGCACCAGCCCCACCTGCTGAGCTGCACTCGCTCTCAGTTTGCGGCGGCCGCGGGGGCAGCCCTCATCTCTCATGCGCTGCGCTCCCCGCTCCCTTTCAATCAGGCCCCAACCCCAAGCAACACGCAATGGAAAGACATGGACAACTGCAATCCAACCGCAATGAATCGATACTTAATCGATTCATGATCAATCTGCTATCGCTCACTTTGTCGTGTTTCAATGGATTATGTGACGGTCAGTGGCATGCACGGGACTTTGGCGACAACCTCAGCAATCGCTCAGGTGCAACAAGGATTATTTCCCGTCGGCCCACTTAAGGGCTGACCCGCGGAGCACTCATCTTAGCGGGCAGTCTTTGAATATGCGCAGAATTTGTCACTGAGTCTGAGTCATAGCGATGTGTGGCCGGGTAACCCAAATGCAACCCGAGGGCTTGCGCAGGATGTCTGGAAGCCTGGATACAGGGAAACATTGTGAGGCATCATTGGCAAGCTCACGACTCCAGAAACGTTGCCACCATCTTCTGCACCAGTTGCGTCAGCATCCTCAGCCGCTTTCGCCCTGACAGCTTTGGCAAAGACCAGGCCCTTCACGTGATCCCACAGCTCCCACGGCACGCTTTGCGCGCGTCTGTAGTAGGGGAGGCTTCTGGTACGATCCTGTCTCTCCGCGTCACGAAGCTCACAAAGGCTGCGCATGCTTGCATTCTGGAAGATTTCCGTGAAGTCCAAGTCTTCGTCCTCTGAGTCAGATTCCGGCACTGTGGCTCTCCAAGCCTTACCATTTTCCCATGCCCACGCAGTCATGTCGGCTTCCGTCCACTTTGCGTCTATGTCGACCTCTTCGTAGATGTAGCCTGTCTTTGAACGGGCATGCCACAAATGCCATTGAAGGTTGCTGAGGAAATCTTGTCTGTCGACTTTCTCGTGCAGCAGGATCAGCTCGTGCGTTGCACGGGAGATCATCACGGCAGCTTTTCCTGGATCTTGTGCATGAGCCACATAGCCCGTGTCAGCGGCAAAACGCCGGAACAGGCAGCACACCACAGTGTGGCACTGACTGCCTCGGCCTTGTCGCGCTGTAAGCACAGCCACCTACAGCAAGATAGACAACTGATCGGCTTGCTTTCCCGTTTTGGCTACAGGGCTGTTGGATGATTTTGAAAACAACAGAAAAGTGTTTGCGCAAACTCCCCTCAGGCCTGGCTGGCCGCGCTATTGGAAGTGCAGACAGCGAGGCCGCGGACATCCCGTAGAAACGAGGCCAAGAGCTCACGAAAAGCTGCATACACGCACTGCACAAGGACCTTGTGGCCGGCCGCGACCTTGTCTGCCACTATGTCGCCAATCCTTGCTCCGGCTGGTACTAAGTTGGCGACAGCAAGGTTATGGGAGGCAGGGGTCAAGCCCTTGCATAGAGGTTGCCTTTTAATGTTTCGAGGAACAATGAACGTCAAATCAGACTTCAGGGCAAAGGAGTGCTAATTTGGAACCTGAAATCTTCGCGAAGATCTTCCAATGCACAACTCCACCTGCGTGGGATGTCGCTTGGGTCCATGGCACTGTGCCGCAGAACGCCGTGTGGACGGTGGTGTCCGGCGCATCCGAAGCAGAGGACAGGTCTGGGTATTTGTCTGGGAAGGTTGCGCTGAGCAGGCGCGTGACTCTGTAGCCGTGGCGCATGGTCTCCATGAGGCGCATCTCCACAGACGCATGAGAAATCCACGTGTTCACGTTCTCCTCTGCCTTTGTGTTTGCCCCAATGCGAAGCTCGTTGCGTTCCTGCGCTGCCCGCATCCTCTGGGACGGGTCGCTGGCAGTCAGCAGGAATGCCGAGGATGTGCAGGCCCCGAGGGTCACACCAAAGTCCAGCATGTCAGGCTCGTCACTGACATGGCCTCCTGCTGCTTTCTGTCTCAGCAAGCGTTGCACTGCTAGACGTTCGTTGGCCTCGTGCTTGAGTTTGTAGGTTGTCGTCGAGATGATCAACCTCACGCTTTGCTCGTGCTGCTCGAGACATTGCTGCCATCGATCACCATGGAAGAAATCAAAGCTTTCCAGGAAGTGCTTCTGCAAGGCGAGCTTGGCCGCGTGTGCTCCTTTTCGCCCCCAGGATGTTTGTCTTGCAGCTTCGACGGCGTGGGTTGCGGCATCTTTCAGGGCGTGGATGCGGAGCATGAACTGTGGTAGGGCTTGTTCGCAGAATTCGGTCTGGTGCTTCCACAGCCTCTCCTCTCCGTCTGGTGATTGGGCAACGGGCGGAAAGTTGGACAATGGAATATACCGCTTGGCAGTGTTGGCAATCTCAGAGACTAACTGCTTCGTGGGCGCCGTGAACCAGTGCACTCTGCGCAAGCATTGCTCCTCATCTGAAAGCATCGCAGCGTTGAGAAGGAGCAAAGCAACCAATGTCTTCCCACACCCCGGCGCCGCCTCCAGTCTTCGCACCACGCTTGGCGCTGCGCAGTCCGCAAGCTGCTTCCTGCAACAGACCCCTATAGGTCTTCAGGCGGCTCTACACGCATTACACTACCCTCAACATGAACCAAAGCGTTCTCTTGCAGCAAGGAGGCAAAAGCTGCCACTGCTTGTCGCTGGCTCTAAAGTTCTGCATGTTGTGGTTCTGGATGTACCAGCGCGCAGCAACTTGAAGGTCATCTGCGCCGAGAGGCGCCAACACCTTTTGTCGCAGCAATGCTCGCAGCACCGGTGATTCTGCGCGGCCATCGCAAAGCTCGCAATGGTTGCGCTTCAGCGTTTGCCATACCTGAGCGGTACTGCCTTTCATCAGCAGGTACTGTTGTTCGCACAACAATTGGTCAGGGTGTTGATCAAACTAGCAACGCTGAAGAACACAGAGAATAAGAAACATCGCACATATCGGAACATGTTAAAACCCTCTAGGCCCCGTGCCGAAATTGGGTAGCTGTTCTGAGGTCCTTGTTGGTGTTGCTTCCCAAGTTCCATTGATCGCCATTTGGCTCAAGACACAATTGAGGTTCAAGATCTGATGTGTGACTGCATACCTACGTGATCGGCATTAAGAGCGAAAACAACTGCTTGCGCTGCATTTGTCAGGACCACTGTTGTAACTATCATTCCTTCTCCCTTACAACGTTTACACGGGTTCGGCTATAACGGCATCGTCCGTATACACCTTTCTACGTGGTTGGTATTACAGCTTGAGGGTTCGGTGCATAGCGTCCCACGGGACGTCACCTTGCCGTCTCTTGACAGGTTATCAGCCGTAACTACAAGCTCTACACTGGACTGGGAGACAGCTGGTTTATTGCGGGTACAGGGACAATAAAGGAACGATAACCTACACAGTACAATGGCGTCTTCGGCTAGCCCAAGTACTGCAACTTTTGGGAACAGCAGCTCAGAGGGATCCAATGGATTGATGGCTCTTCCTGCGGTGATGGATATGGTTGCAGATTCACAGGATGAACCTGGGAGCGGAGGTTCCGCGCTATTCAGCGACATATCTACTCCCACAAGATCATGGAAGCAGATCGATGTTCATCAGGAGTCGAAGAAAAGAGAATCCCCACCGAGAAGATCATCATCTTCGCCTGCGACACCACGGACGTCGCAGAAGGGCG